AGAGCACTTCCTGCGTGAAATGGGCCAACTCTACGAAGCTGCGGTATCGCTTCCAGAAAACGTACAATCTCGTCAACAAATGCTACACTTACCCCGGCTATGTGCTGAGCTGATGTTGGATGGCTTCCCTCTGGAACTGGTTGATGGAGATGCATCAAATATTCCTCTCAGATGGGTTAGTGATGTGCTTCTGTATTTGAACTCTTTGGTGCAGCCAAATAATAAAATCATGGTGGTCACAGTTTTGGGAGTCCAGAGCACAGGGAAGTCCACCTTGCTGAACACCATGTTTGGAGTTCAGTTTGCAGTCAGCAGTGGAAGATGCACCAGAGGAGCTTTTATGCAGCTGATCAAAGTCAAAGAGGACATCAAGAAAGAACTTGGCTGTGATTATTTAGTGATAATTGACACTGAAGGTCTGAAATCCCCAGAGCTGGCAAAACTAGATGATAGCCACGAACATGACAATGAATTAGCCACACTTGTTGTTGGATTGAGTGACATTACAATCATCAACATCGCAATGGAGAATTCCACAGAGATGAAGGACATTTTGCAGATTGTGGTCCATGCTTTCCTCAGAATGAAGGAAATAGGGAAAAAACCCAATTGCCAATTTGTCCACCAAAACGTTGCTGATGTATCAGCCCATGACAAGAACATGAGAGATCGAAAGCTGCTGCTGGAGCAACTGAATGAGATGACAGAGGCTGCAGCTAAAATGGAGAACAAGGAGGACTATAAAATGTTTACTGATGTGATGGAGTATGACCCGGAGACTTGCAATTGGTATATCCCTGGACTGTGGCATGGAAATCCTCCAATGGCACCAGTAAACGCTGGCTACTCTGAGGCTATCTATGACCTTAAAAAGAACATGATTGATGTAATTGGAAAATGCAAACAAAAAACGTCTGGAAACAACATATCAGAATTTTTGGAGTGGACAAAAAGCTTGTGGAATGCAGTCAAATATGAAAATTTCATATTTAGCTTCAGGAACAGCTTGGTGGCTGATGCATACATGAGACTGTGCACAGAATTT